AGACTTTCCAATCTTCACAACAATGAATAAAATCATCAAAAAGTGTCGAAACATTCAAACCATTGATTTTTGTGATATCCATGAAAACAATGAATACTTTCTCGAAGTTTTGCCCGAAATTCTTCACGAATTCCCGAATTTGCGGCAAATTTACTGCAATTTGTCGTCAAATAGCAACCGATGGGTCGGACGGTTGGCGCCACTCATCACACGTATTGGCCGGATCTCAATGGCAAAGAAACAATCACTCCTTCAATGCCACCGATTGTCTCATTTGACAGACAGTTATTTGTCAGATGTCTTTGACACTACTTCAGGACAATTATTAGCCGAGAATTTGTTGCATTTAAAACTTAATGACAGTCATAATGACCAACAATTGTCTGAATTGGTGTCCGGGAATCAGTCCCTCAAATATCTAAATATCGATGAATACAATATCGAGAGTTTGACACAATTAACGCCACAATTGTCACGATTGACACAATTAAAGAAATTAGTATTTTATTTAAGTAAATACGAGAACTCATTGTCTGAGTCTTTGCGTACAATTGGCTTAAACTGCAAACAATTACAACGATTGAAAATTGTATTGGGTTTTCAAATCACAGACACTAATGTCCAGACATTGGATTCATTGGAAGTGTTTCAACGATTAAAACGATTGGATTTAACGTCTAACGAAAGCTATATATTATCGACTAAAGCGTTTGGTCTCTCGATTCCGGGCAAAAGATTAACGCATTTATCCATTGATTGGCCGCAAATTGACTGCAAATTATTAGGCAATTGTCAGAAACAATGGCCACGACTTCAAGTCCTGTCCATTAGATGTGAAGATTTTAACGGTCAGTGTTTGGATCACATCTCAAGACTACCGGCGCTCCAAACGCTTGTCATTAAATACAATGTAAACAATGATCTCTTGGATAATGATTTCAATGATCTGTTGTCGAGAAGTCCTAAACTCAAGACCATAATCAATTTTCATAACTATAATTATTATTATCGTAAAACTGCTTTAAATGTTTAGAATATTATTACAAAATTCTGTTTGTAATTTGCATTTAATTATATTTAAAAGATACACGTATGTCATAATTATTGAATTCATTTATATTTTATAAATCCTAAACACTGTAAACCAATTCAATTGTTTCTTCAAACTAATTGTAATATTTTGAATAAAATTATTAATAACTAAAAATTTTATTATTTCTGAAATACTTTTGAAATATTGGATATTTTTAATTTAATGACTTTATTTTAATACACATTAAATTCAATGGAAACAAAACTACACAAAATATTTTATTACACAAATACTTGAAATCAAATAATATTGAAATGTTATACAAAATAATAGTAGAAATTTAGTTAATATATGAATTGTATTGAGAATAAAGACAGAATTATTAACGGCAGAAATGATAGCACTTCCAGAGGACTATTGGCGAAGAATTTGAAGAAATTTTTGTTTTCTTTTAAATCAAGTGATAATAAGGAACTGTTGTCTGCATTTGTGGCACACAATCAGTGCCTCAAAAGTGTTGACATGAGTGACAAATTATTGGATAATTGTGGCAAACATTGGCCGCGACTTCATTACCTGTCCATTGAATGTTTAAATTTTTACACCGAGTGTTTGGATCACATCTTAAGCCTACCGGCGCTGCAAACAGTTGTTATTAAATACTCTCAATCGGAAGGTTTCAGAGATAATGCTTTTGAATACTTTGTGTCCAAAGGCACTAAACTCAAGAAGATTGAAATGAGTGACAACTTATCCATTAAATCATTTTACAGTAGAAATGGGTTAAATGTTTAATGTTTTTGTAGATAATATTTTAATGTGAATTTGTTTTTATATAACTATTAAACAAAATTAGATAATAGTTTGTGTGATGTGTTGTTCACAAGTCATAAACTAGAGTGCATTGAAATGTGTGAATATTTATATCCAAAATGCTTTTATTCTACAAACTCTTTGATTTAAAACTTTAATTGAGGAAAATTTTTAGAATCATTTGTTAGAAATTCATAATTACATGTATTTTAATGATAATTGTTTTGTTAAAAACTGTATTAATTTGTTTATAATTTCATTTAATAATAAAATATAATTTCTATTATTTATGATTTAAATGGCATTAAAAAAGTTATTCAAAGTTTAGACTAAAAGTGTTATAAAATGTTGAAATGAAATATTAGTGAATAGATGTCAGTCTTGTTGTCAACACTTTGTGTTGGTTTGCATTCAATCGCAATATTAACACATGTTTTGTCACAAAAGATATTCAATTCATTCATACAATCACTTCAACTGATCCCAAGATATGGAACAAAAGACTAAACGCAAGAAGACATCACTCGTGACCACAGATGACGGCAATGAAGACATTCAACAGGTATTCCACAATCAATTGACTGTTTATTGAGTTTTCATTGTTTTTGTCTCATATTTTAGTCAATGACTTACGCGAAGAACTCAATGGACAGATTTGGTGATGATTTGTGTGCACTTCTTGTGTCTCATCTCGATATCGAAGATCGGTTTCGATTTGAATGTGTGTCCAAACAGTTCCAGAGGACAGTCTTCAGGAGTGTTGTCGACATTAATTTCGATGTTTCATTCATTCAACGCCAAGACTTTCCAATCTTCACAACAATGAATAAAATCATCAAAAAGTGTCGAAACATTCAAACCATTGATTTTTGTTACTTAAACGAAAACAATGAGTACTTTCTCGAAGTTTTGCCCGAAATTCTTCACAAATTCCCGAATTTGCGGCAAATTTACTGCAATTTGTCGTCGAATAGCAACCGATGGGTCAAACAGTTGGCGCCACTCATCACACGTATCGGTGATATCGAAATGGAAAAGAAACGATTACTCATTCAATGCCACCGATTGTCTCATTTGACAGCAATTAATAATTTGTCTGATGTTTTCGACACAACTTCTGGACAATTATTAGCGAAGAATTTGTTGCATTTAAACCTTTACGGCACTCATAATAACCAACAATTGTCTGAATTGGTGTCCGGGAATCAGTCTCTCAAATATGTGAATACCGTTGACTACGATATCGAGAGTTTCACACAATTAGCGCCACATTTGTCACGATTGACACAATTAAAGAAATTAATTCTTTATTTATATCACGACGAGAACTCATTGTCTGAGTCTTTGCGTACAATTGGCTTAAACTGCAAACAATTGCAACGATTGACACTTACATTGGATTTTCAAATCACAGAAACTAATGTCCAGACATTAGATTCATTGGAAGTGTTTCAACGATTAAAACGATTGGATTTAACTCTTAGAGAAAGCTATTCACTATTGACTAAAACGTTTAGTCTCTCGATTCCGGGCCAAAGATTAACGCATTTATCCATTATTTGCCCGCAAATAGACTGCAAATTATTAGGCAATTGTCAGAAACAATGGCCACGACTTCAAGTCCTGTCCATTCAATGTTACGATTTTAACGGCCAGTGTTTGTCACACATCTCAAGACTACCGGCGCTGCAAACGCTTGTCATTCAATGCTATGTAAGAACTGATCTCTCGGACAATGATTTCGAGGATCTGTTGTCGAGAAGTCCTAAACTCAAGAATATTGAAACCATAATCACTTTTTATATCCATAATTATTATTATCGTAAAAATGCTTTAAATGTTTAGAATATTACTACAAATTGTTTTTGTAATTTGCATTGAATTGCATTTATTGGTAAATAATTTGTGATAATTACTGAATTCATTTATATTTCATAAATCCTAAACACTGTAAACCAATTCAATTGTTTTATCAAACTGTAATATTTTGAATAAAATTATTAATAATAAAAAATGTGTGAAATACATTTATTGGATATTTTTAGTCAATGACTATATTTTAATAAACATTAAATTCAATGGAAACAAAACTACAAAAAATATTTTATTAGTCAAACACTTGATAATGAAATGTAATGACATGAGTGAGAAATTATTAGATAATTGCGGCAAACATTGGCCACGACTTCATTACCTGTCCATTGAATGTCTAAACTTTTACACCGAGTGTTTGGATCATATCTTGAGACTACTGGCGCTGCAAACAGTGATCTTTAAATACTTCCAATCGGAAGGTTTCAGAGATAATGCTTTTGAATACTTTGTGTCCAAAGGCACTGAACTCAAGAAGATTGAAATGAGTGACAACTTATCCATTAAATCCTTTTACAGTAGAAATGGTTTAAATGTTTAATGTTTTTGTAGATTATATTTTAATGTGAATTTGTTTTTATATAACTATTAAACAAAATTAGATAATAGTTTGTGTGATGTGTTGTCCACAAGTCATAAACTAGAGTGCATTAAAATGTGTGAATATTTATATCCAAAATACTTTTATTACTCAAGAAATTGTTTGATTCAAAACTTTAATTGAAAATAATTTCTAAAATCATTAATATTTTGTTAGAAATTCATAATTACATGTATTTTAATGATAATTGTTTTGTTAATAACTGTATTAATTTGTTTATAATTTCGTTTAATAATAAAATATAATTTTTATTATTTATGATTTAAATGGCATTTAAAAAGTTATTCAAAGTTTAGACTAAAAGTGTTATAAAAATATTGAAATGAAATATTAGTGAATAGATGTCAGTCTTGTTGTCAACACTTTGTGTTGGGTTTGCATTCAATCGCAATATTAGCACATGTTTTGTCACAAAAATACAATTCATTCAAACAATCACTTCATTTGATCCCAAGATATGGCACAACAGATGAAACACTTGAAGACATCACTCAAGACTATAGATGACGGCAATGAAGACAACAAACAACAGGTACTTCACAAACAATTCACTGTTTAATAAACAACAGTGTTTATTGAGTTTTCATTGTTTTTTACTCACATTTTAGGCACAAATCTATGCGAAGAACTCAATGGACAGATTCGGTGATGATTTGTGTGCACTTCTTGTGTCTCATCTCGATATCGAAGATCGATTTCGATTGGAATGTGTGTCCAAACAGTTCCAGAGGACTATCTTCAGGAGTGTTGTGGACATTGATTTCGATGATCCATTCATTCAACGCGAAGACATTTCAATCTTCAAAACAATGAAAAAAATCAGCAAAAAGTGTCGAAACATTCAAACAATTGATTTTCGGTATATCGAAGAAAACAATGAATACTTTCTCGAAGTTTTGCCCGAAATTCTTCACAAATTCCCGAATTTGCGGCAAATTTACTGCAATTTGTCGTCAAATAGCGACCTATGGATCGGACAGTTGGCGCCACTCATCACACGTATTGGCCGTATTTTAGTGGACAATAAACAGTCACTCATTCAATGCCACCGATTGTCTGATTTGAGAGTAATTGATAATTTGTCGAATGTCTTCGACTCTACTTCTGGACAATTATTAGTGAAGAATTTGTTGCATTTAAACCTTTACGGCACTCATAATAACCAACTATTGTCTGAATTGGTGTCCGGGAATCAGTCCCTCAAATGTCTTTGTGTCTTGTATTACAATACCGAGAGTTTCACACAATTAGCGCCACAATTGTCACGATTAACACAATTACGGGAATTAGAACTTTCTTTACGTCAATACGAGAACTCATTGTCTGAGTCTTTGCGTACAATTGGCTTAAACTGCAAACAATTGCAACGATTAAGACTTATATTGGATTTTGAGATCACAGATAATAGTTTCAAAACATTGGATTCATTGGAAGTGTTTCAACGATTAAAACGATTGGATTTAACGCTCAGCAAAAGCTACACATTATTGACTAAAACGTTTAGTCTCTCGATTCCGGGCCAAAGATTAACGCATTTAATCATTTATTGCCCGCAAATAGACTGCAAATTATTAGGCAATTGTCAGAAACAATGGCCACGACTTCAAGTTCTATTCATTAGTTGTCAAGATTTTAACGGTCAGTGTTTGGATCACATCTCAAGACTACCGGCGCTGCAAACGCTTGGCATTCACTACATTAGAGGCAATGATCTCTCGGATAATGATTTCAATGATCTGTTGTCCAGAAGTCCTAAACTCAAGAACATTAAAATCAGTGGAAATTATGAGAAAAAGTTTTATTTAAAATAAAAATGCTTAAAAAGAAACTATTTTTAAATTTCAATCAATCAGTTTTATATTTCTCTTATTTGTGATAATTAACAAATTCTCAATAACTCCTAAATCCTAAACACTGTAAACCAATTCAATTGTTTCTTCAAATTTAAACTGATTGTAATATTTTGAAAATTATTAATAAATAAAATTCGGTTTTAATTAAAACTATTAATTTTATTATTTCTGAAATACGTTTATTGAATGTTTTTTAGTCAATGATTATATTTTAATACACATTAAATTCAATGGAAACAAAACTACAAAAATATTTTATTTTACGAATATTTAATATCAAATAATAATGAAATGTAATACAAAATAATGTTAAAAATTTAGTTAATACAGTATATGAATTGTATTGAGAATAACGACAGAATTGTAATACAATTATTAATATCAATTGAATTGACAATTAAATTAATGAAAATAAACATTTTTATATGTAATAAAATCAATAGAAAAGTTTTTTGTCGTAATAAAAGGGATCAAACGTTTTGAGTTATATTTTTAACAATATTTATAATTTTTAAATTTAGGGATCAGTTGTTTGACATACAATTGGTTGATATAATTAAATGTATTAATTATTAAATATTTAAAGTAAATATTAAACAATTTTACGGCAATAAAACTTTGATATACGCTTTGGAGCCCTCAAGTGCTTTACAGTTTCGATGCATTTTAGTTTTGGACTCGAAGACAACAGATCCGTGAAATCATTGTCCGAGAGATCATCGCTTCGATAGTATTGAATGACAAGCATTTGCAGCGCCGGTAGTCTTGAGAGGTGTGACAAACACTCGCGAGTATACGAAATGGTATTGATGTGCAGGTATTGAAGTCGTGGCCAAAGTTTGAGACAATTGTTCAAAAAGTTTGCATTCATTTGCATTAAATAAAGTGTTAAATGTGTTAATCGGAGGCAAACAAGTGGTTTCATCGGATCCAACAATTCTTCATCGATAGGCGTAAAGAGTGTTAAACGAAATCGTTTTAATCGGCGGTAAGATATCAGTGAATCCAATAGTTGAACATTGAGTGGGGAATCGCGTCGACGCACCTTAAGTGACAATCGTTTCAATTGTTTGCAGTTTAAGCCAATTGTGCTCAAGAACTCAGACAATAGTTGCCATTCACTAATTCGGTACAAATCAAGTGTTAATTCCCGTAATTGTGTTAATCGTGACAATTGTTTGGGCAGTTGTGAGAGACTGTAGTGAATGTCATACGAAATAATAACGTAAACACTTTTGAGGGACTGATTGTGTGCCACAAATGCAGACAACTGTTTATCATTTGAGTCAAAACAGTAATCAAATGAAATCTTCTGTAAATTTTTGGCCAATAGTTGTCCGGAAGCGCTGTCGAAGACATCATACAATTCATATGACATCACTTCAGACAATCGGTGGCAATGAATGAGTGATTGTCTTTCATTTGAGTAAATATTTCCAATTTTTGTAATAAATGGTCCGAATTTGGGGAACAATTGATCGCTATTTTGCCATAAATTGCAGTAAATATCTCTTAAATGACGGCTATTGTCACGAAATGTGTTCAACACTTCGGGAATGTGTTCTTCATATTTGGTACTCATTCCTCGGCAGTCAATGCATTGAATATTTGGACACTTTATGGCAATTGTGGCCAACAATTGAATATTAGATGAAATCATGAATTTCTTTGAATTCAAAAGTTTATTCAATATTTTGGCGTCAATTTCTATGTCGACAACACTCTCGAAGACTGTCCTCTGGAACTGTTTGGACACACATTCGTAACGGAATCGGTCCTCGAGTGAGAGATAAGACAATAAGAGTTGACACAAATCATCACCGAATCGATCCAAAGAGTCTTTCGCATAGATTTGTGTCTAAAATGTTTAACAAAAGCTATTAAAACTCAATAAACAGTCAATTGTTTGTCAAATACCTGATAATTGTTGTCTCCATTGCCGTCTTTTTTAATCTCTATTGGTTTCATCTGTTGTGTCATATCTTGGGATCAAATGAAGTGATTGTATGAATCAATTGTGTTTTTGTGATAAAATGTGAATATATTGTCATTCATTGAAATTTTCAATTTGAAAACAACATAAAGTGATGGCAAACAAGACTGACATCTATTCATAAACTTTTTATAACATTTTCTCAAACTTTTAGTCCAAACTTTGAATAACTATTAAGTTTTATTGCAATTAATTTAAACAAATTTTTAGTTATTTATGAATAATTTTATTAATTTAAGATATTTTTAAATAACTTTTATTGCAATTTTTGAATTCAATTGTATTTTTTATAAAACAGAAACTGAAACACAAATTATTTTTTATTGTATTATAAAATATAAAAATTTAATAAATTAATGTTTTAATAAGAGATCTGAAGTTCTAATTAAAATTATATTTAAAACTTTTAGTATTAAATATTTATTTAATTAATATTTATTTTTAAACACATTAAATACAATTGAAATACAGAAATGTTTTATGAAAAATAATTCAAATTAAATAACAATGAAATGTTATGCAAAATAATGTTAGAAATTATGTCTACAAATGAATTGCACTGAAAATAATTACAGAATTATAATAACATTGAAAAGCAATTGAATTAAATACTAATTATTGACAATAAAATGTAATGAAAACAAATAAATGTTTAATAATATCCCAAAAGACAATTTTAGCAATTGTTTTGAACAAAACTAACGCGTTTTAGTTTAGGGATCAGTTGTCTGACAAACGATTCGTTGAGATAATTGATATAATCAGTGCTCCAAAATGTCTGAACGATCAGAGTTTGCAGCGCCGGTAGTCTTGCGATGTGTGACAAACACTGGTTTAATATCCAATTGGGTCCAGTGATTGTCAAATAGTGAAGCCGTGGCTTATCTCTGAGAAAATTGGCCAATAATTGAGCGCTAATTCGACAGCAATATATAGTCAGATGTGTTAACCGTCGGCAGTGTCTCAACGGTGCAAACGATTCATTGACGATGGCCTCAACGGCGCTCCCAATCAAATTGAATGTTACTTCTAATCGTTTAATCCGTGGATTAAATGACAATTTAGTCAAGAAGTGAGCGTTTTGTTCAGAAAGAGTGCACATATATAGGGATATGGACTCCAATTGTTTGCATTGATTTCCAATTCTGGTCATAGAGTCGGCCAATGGAGAGGAAATGCCACCGAATTTAAGAGACAAATGTCTTAATTTTGATAATTGTTTCAATGGTTCCTCGAGTTCTGTTAGTATCGCTTCGCTTTCAATGTTGATGGCGTCCACACAAAGACTAGTCAACGACTGATTCCGGGCCACCAATTGGGCAAACAATTGGTTGTCTTCGACGCCATTGTAGACGAACTCAATGTAAAGTAAATTTTCAATCATTAGTTGTCCGGTAAAAGCGCTGAAGAGGGCGGACAGCGAGCGGACAGTTATTTGCGACAATTGGTTGCAATGAATGAGTGAATGTCTCTCTAAACCCGAAACGCCTTCTATTCGTGTGACCAGAGGTCCGAACTCTTGGATCCATTCATCGGCTTTTGATGTCAAATGACAGCAAATCTCTCGGAAATGATGGCAATTGTCTCGCAATGATTTCAACACTTCGGGTAGAAATGCATTAAATGTTATCATTCCTCGACAGTCCAGGCGTTCAATGTTTGGACATTTGATGGCAATTCTGGACATCATTTCAATGATAGAATTTTTTGATTTCAGGATTTTAATTATTAGATTGTCGTCAACACTGATGTCCACAACACTGTCGAAGACAGTCCTCTGGAACTGCTTGGAAACACATTCCAATCGAAACCGATCTTCAAATGTGAGATATGACAACAAAACCTGTGAAAAATCATCACCAAATCGATCCAAAGAGTTCTTGGGATACATCTGTGGCTAAAATAAGTGATAAATACAATTAAAACTCAATAAACAGTCAATTGTTTAACAAAAACCTGTTGTTTGATGTCTTCATTGTCGTCATCGGTGGCCACAAGTGATGTCTTCGTTGGAGTTATTTGTTGTGACATTTCTTGGGATCAAATGATTGTACGAAACGTTTGATTCAAATTATATTTAATTCAAATTCAAATTAATAATTAAATATTGTTTTCAATTCAAAACTAATGTCAAAAATAATGCTTTTATTAAACAAAACAAATGACGTATTATTTATAGCAAACAAAATATAGCGACAATTGTCTGTAGTTTTATGTTTTGTATCAAAAAAGAAATGAATACTAAAATACAGTCAACTCTTGATATGCTTTAAATGAGAACTTTATTTGAAGTCATTATTGGAGACGTAATAACGGTTTGGAAACAAATCATTGGAACAAAAGTTATTGACATTTGTTTCGGGATTTCTGTGAAAAAGTTATCAAAACTTTTGTTACAATTTTTGCATTCAATTGTATTTTCCATAAAATCTATACTAAAACACAATTCAATTGTTTTCTATTGTATTATTAAATATAAAAATTTAATTAATTAATGTTTTAATACAAGACATGACTTTTAATTAAAACTATTTATTGTATTATTTCTTCAATACATTTAGTATTAAATATTTATTTAATTAATAGTTATTTTTAAACACATATTAAATACAATTGAAATACAGATAAGTTATGAGAAAAAATATTTCAAATTAAATAATAATGAAATGTTATACAAAATAATGTCAGAAAATAAGTTTACAAATGAATTGTATTGAAAATGAGTACAGAATTATAATAACATTAATGAAAAGCAATTGAATTAAATACTAATCATTGAAAGTAAAAGATTATATGTAAGAAAAAACAATTGAAATCATTAATTCTTTGGTACAATATATGAAAACAAACGGTTTGAGCCTTAGTTTTGACAAAACTTGACATTTTTGAGTTTAGGGATCAGTTGTTTGACATACAATTCGTTGATATAATTGTTTGAATCAGTGCTCAGCGGGTTGTGAACGACCAGTGTTTGCAGCGCCGGTAGACTCGCGATGTGTGGCAAACACTGGTTTAATTCCGCGTTAGTCTTCGGGCCACTTATAGACAAATAGCGAAGCCGTGGCTTATCTTTGAGAAAATTGGCCAATAATTGAGCGTTCATTTGGTGGTAACTGATTGCCAGATGTGTTAACCGCCGGCAGTCTCTCAACGGTCTAAACGATTCGCTAACGAAGTCCTGAACAGCGCTTCCAAACAAATTGAATGCTATTTTCAATCTCTTGAGCCGTGGATTCAACAATTCACTCAAGAGGTGAACGTTTTGTTCGTCAATTTTGGCCAGAAATAGTGTAATGGATGTCAAATGACGGCAATTGTGACCAATTGTGACCAATTGTAGGCATAGAGTCGGCGAATAGGGAGGAAATGTCAGCCATAGTGAGCATCAATTCTTTTAATTGTGGTAAACGTGACAATCGTGTCAATGAGTCCAAGACTTCTGTTAACATTACTACGCTTTCGGGTGTCATTGCGTTCACATAAAGACTGGTCAGCGACTGATTCTCGGCCACCAATTGAGTGAACAGTTGATTGTCTTCGACGCCATTGTAGGTGAACTCTATGTGACGGATATTTTTAACCAATGGCTGTCCGGAAGCGCTGCTGATGTTTGTCAGCGACTTAACCCGTATTTCTGACAATTGGTTGCAATGATTGAGTGAATGTCTCTCTAAACTCGAAACGCCGTCTATTAGTGTGACGAGTGGTCCGAACTCTTGAATCCATTGATCGGCTTTTGATAGCAAATGACAGCAAATCTCTCGGAAATGATGGCAATTGTCTCGCAATGATTTCAATACTTCGGGTATGAATGCATTGAATGTTATCATTCCTCGACAGTCGAGGCGTTCAATGTTTGGACATTTGATGGCAATTCTGGACATCATTTCAGTCACAGATGTCTTTGAATTAAAGATTTGAATCAATAGATTGTCGTTAACAGCGATGTCGACAATACTGTCGAAGACAGTCCTCTGGAACTGCTTAGACACAGATTCCAACGCAAATCGTTCTTCAAATGTGAGATGAGATAACAAAATGCCAAACAAATCGTCACCGAATCGATCCAAAGAGTTCTTGCGATACATCTGTGGCTAAAACGAGTGATAAATATAATTAAAACTCAATAAACATTCAAATGATAATCAAATTCCTGTTGTGTATTGACTTCTTGGCCGTCATCTGTGGTGACGAGTGTTGTCTTCGTTGATGTCATTTGTTGTGCCATTTCTTGGGATCAAATCAAGTGATGGTTTGAATGCTTTGATTGAAATTAAGTTATAATAAAAAGTGATCCAAAGTTTGACTCAAATCCCAATCTTTGAAACATTAATGACGTCTCGAATATAGACTTCACTTATAATTGGTTTTCATTACAATTGAATTGAATGTAAAACTAATTAATTTTCATTAGTTTTAACTGAAATTATATTAAAATTAAATTAAATTAAACAAAATATTGAATAAACAAAATGTCGTGAATTTATTTGTTAAGTCCAATGCATTCACAACTGTATTACACCTCTAATAAGTGCCTCAATTAAAGTCCTAATAGTTTTTAATTTGCTTATAAATTGCTATTAAAAATCAATACAATTGATAAAAATTACTAAAATTTATAATAATAATAGAGTTAATAATTATTTTATTTGGTGACTGTACATATAATTTATAATTTTATAAATATTATGCTAGTACAATTAGATAAATTTGTAAAACAGAAAAATAAAATATTTATTTTATTCATTAATTATCTTTATTAAAAATTTTAATTTTATTAACTGTTAATTTATTAAAATTTTAAATTATACTTTCTTTTGCCGTAAAATTAATTATTTTCAATAATAGACGTAAGGCTTGCATAATATAACAAAATAGTGTATTGTTAAAAGGCTTATCATTAGTTACAGAGTTATATAATCGCAGTATTAGTGCTATTATATAGTTATATAACACATTGTGTTGTAATAAATAGTGTTATTATAAATAGTATTAAAATTTAATTTTTTTTACAAAACATTACTCATTACACGTCTGTATTGTAATAATACCGGAAATATTATGACATTTTGTGATATTTATTGGCATTTCATAACAAAAATTCAATTAAATAATACAATCACTTCATTTGATCCCAAGATATGGCACAACAGATGATGGAAATGATCTCTTCATACTTTACCACAGATGACGGCAATGAAGACAACAGACAACAGGTATTTCACAAACAATTCACTGTTTATTAAGTTTTATATTTAAAGTATTATATTTAATTGTTTTTGTCTCACATTTAGCCACAAATATATGCGAAGAACTCAATGGACAGATTCGGTGATGATTTGTGCGGACTTTTGTTGTCTTATCTCACATTTGAAGACCGATTCCGTTACGAATGTGTGTCCAAACAGTTCCAGAGGACAGTCTTCAAGAGTGTTGTGGACATTAGTATTAATGATCAACTAATAAGCCATAAGTCATTGAAAGGTCGGAACTTCTCTTATAACCCAATGGACCTCAAAATTGTGGGCCAAATGTTGAGCCATATGTACGACAGTCTCATGGGTTACGAGACAACTGAATTCAACACTCAATTGTTGGCCACAATCGCCAGAAAGTGTCCAAACATTCAGACCATTGACTGCCGAGGAATAGGTACCAAATATGAAGAACACATTCCGGAAATGTTAAACATATTTCGAGGCAATTCCCGGCATTTGCGGGAAATTTACTGCAATTTAGGGCAAAATAGCGATCAATTGTGTCATACGTTCGGACCTCTGGTCACCAGAATTGACAGAATATCGGCCGCAGAGAAACAATCACTCATTCATTGCCACCAATTGTCGCGATTACACGTCTTCTCGTTGTCCGATGTCTTCGACAACACTTCCCAACAATTATTGGCAAAAAATTTAACAAAACTATTGTTTGGCTATAATTCAGACGATAATCAACTGTTGTCCGCATTTGTGGCACAGAATCAGTCCCTCAAAAGTCTTGTCGTGTTTTATAAGAATAATATCACTCCCGGAATGTTCCCCGAAATGTCCAAACAATTGTCACGATTAACACAATTACGGGAATTGAGACTAATTTCGCCATTAATTCAACAGAATTTATTGTCTGAGTCTTTGCGTACAATTGGCTTAAACTGCAAACAACTGAAACACTTGTCATTTGAATTGAGAGGATATAACCCACCACTCGATGGCAACGCTTTGTTGTCATTAAGATGTTATCATCGATTAAAACGATTTGGTTTAACACTCTTCGGGACCATCGATGAGGATCTGTTGGAACCGTTGAAACTCTGCCACCGATTAACACATCTAACACTATATGCAAAGCAAATGAATTATAAATTGTTTGATAATTGCGACAAAAATTGGCCGCGACTTCAATACTTTTGCCTTAAAGTCATTACAATTACTGACGAGTTGTTGGATCACATCTCAAGACTACCGGCGCTGCAGTTTCTGAGGATTGTATGCCGACATGACATCGATATCAAAGATAATGATTTCTCGCATCTGTTGTCCAGAAGTACTAAACTAAAGAATATTGAAATCCGTATAAACAAAGTCTCAAAGTATTATTCAAAGTAAAATTTTAATGAAATGTTAAGTGATTTATAAGTTTAAATGAATTGTTTTAAATATAGTAAAACATTTATAACACTAAATCTAATATTTATGTTTTATAACTATTACAGAATGTAATAATTTTATTAATTTAATTATTGGTTAATTTATAGATATTAATTTAGTTAACATTAACTTTCTTAACGTTTCAAACATTTCTTTATTTGTTTTAAACTTTATTTAGATATATTTAAAAATATAAAATATATATTTATTATAATTAATAATTGCTTGTATTTTTTACTGCTTTCCTGAAATAATTTTTATAAAATAATTTACCCGCAAATAATTTTTAAAGCATTAAAAATATACATTATTTACTAATTGTGAATTACTATTGCCAACAAAATACAGTATTTTGTATATTTTACATGAAAATTATTCTTATTTTGTTTATTGAACATTGTTTTATTTATAAAATACAAATCTCTTTATTAAAAATAAAAATTTAATTTACATATAAGACATATTTAATTATTCATTGTTCAATAATATTTTTACTGCATTTATTTATGAAATTTTACTTTATTATAATTTTATTTATAATAAATATAATTATTTATTAAGATGAAAGTCTAGCGATACTGCACTGTTTTTAATCATTATCTTAGTAAAATATTGACGATAATAATAAATTAATGTTGTGCAATTAATCTGAAATCAACATAAATAATAATTATAATTTTACGACACATTTCTAATAAACTAATATTTTCCAGTTTTAATAAATTGTTGTTTTTGTGTAAAATTGTAAAGTTAATAAACAATCAAATAATTATCCAGGTTATGTTAGATCTGCAATAACATTGCTTTGAGTACACATTTGACCACAAATTATAAGTAATTAAATTTTAATAGTTTTGATTTTAAGGAATGAATAAAATTCAAAAATTCATTGATTATAATGAAGAATAGTCTCACATTCTGTGACACAGAATCTGTGTTTAGAATTTCATATACATATGTATAATATGTTAACTCCTATGAAATTATATATACCGTAGTATTAGTCCTATTATATAGTGTTATAACACATATTATAACAATAATGAGTGTTATTATAAATAGTATCACAATATTATAAATAAATTTATTATTTGTATGTAATGTAGTTATGATATAATGTTTTGTGTGCCTAATATGGTATATGAAGGTCGGTATCCAAATAATTATTAATAGACAATTATTTACATCATTTCTCGTTAATAAACATTTTATTTGATCCCAAAATATGGCACAACAGATGAAACACACGAAGATATCACTCAAGACCGCAGATGACGGCAATGAAAATAACAGACAACAGGTTTTTGACATAACAATTGATTCATTCTCTAATTTAAACTCTCATTTAGTCCGACATCTATGCGAAGGACTCAATGGACAGATTCGGTGATGACATGTGTGGACTCATATTATCCTATCTGTCACTCGAAGATCGGTTTCGATGTGAATGTGTGTCCAAACAGTTCCAGAGGACAGTCTTCGAGAGTGTTGTGGACATCATTCTCTATTCCAAACTCATTAAACTAATACAAAACACAAACCAAACAATTACTCAAACTATGGAAAGAATGGCTAAAAAGTGTCCAAATATTCAAACAGTTGACTGTAAAGGAATTTGTCTCTCACTTGAAGTACACATTTCCGAAGTGTTGCAACCATTTCGGGACAATTGTCTGCATTTGCGTGACATTTATTGTAGTCTTGGGGAACACAGCAGCCAATGGATCCCTACGTACGGACCACTGGTCACACGTGTTAGAATGGTTGACCCTGATCACAATCTAGCACTTATTCATTGCCACCGGTTGTCTCTATTATGTGTCGACGAGTTTTACGAACTCTTTGACGGGATTTCTGGACAATTATTAGTGAAGAATTTGAAAAGAATTTATATAAATGTTAGTCATAACAATTCGCCAAATATGGCACAAGTGTCTGCATTTGTGGCCACAAATCAGTGTCTGAAATATATATCAGTATATATGAGTGACGCCCCCATTGTGTCTTCACATCCAATTATAAGCCAATTGTCACAATTATCACAATTACGGGAAATATCACTGACTTTCACAGAAATGGATGGCAACCAATCGCTGTACAACTCTTTGCGCGATATTGGCCTCAATTGCAAACAATTGAAACGATTATCACTTAATTTGTGCGTAAAAACGCCGGAATTCAATGTCCACACATTGGATGCGTTAAGATTTTATTCTTACTTAAATCGAATTAATTTAAAAACATCTAGAATTGGCCGACAAAGTATGGAACCGCTTATCTTTAGCGAGAAAGTGTTGGAACCGTTGAAACTTTGCCACCGATTAACACATTTAACGCTAAAAGTATGGGAAATAAGCCGTAAATTTTTCTTTAATTGTGACAAACATTGGCCACGACTTCAATACCTGTCCATCGATGAGAAGAACCATAACTTTAATTTTAAATGTTTGGATCGCATCTCAAGACTACCGGCGCTGCAAACATTGAAAATTGGGAGTTGGGATCAATTCTATGATCTCTCGGATAATGATTTCTGGGATTTATTGTCCAGAAGTCGTAAACTCTAAAACATTGAAATTTATAAAAATAACAATTATTTTCCTAAGAAATTATTGAAGTATTTCGGCCGCAAAAACGGATTATTGTTTTTGTAATTTATAAATGAAATACAATTTAAAAAAATAAGATCTTAATAAAATAAAAATGTAAATACAATTTGATTATGCATTGATTGTCGCAAAGAATATTCTTGTATTTTGTGCGCAGAATTTGGTGTATATTATATATTGTGCTTGAAATGCCTTAACTCTCATCAAATTGAATCTATCGTAGTATTAGTGCTATTATATACATTATGTACATATAGTTATATAGTCATGTAGTTATATAACACATAGTGTTGTAATAAATAGTATTAAAATATTATTAATGAATGTATTATTTGTCTGTAATGTAGTTATAATGTAATGATTGCATACCGTATAAGGCATGTGAGGATTGAATATAATAATAATAACAAAAATTAATTGTTATTAATTGAATTAATTATAAAATCACTTCATTTTATCCCAAGAAATGGCACAACAAATAAAACGTCTCAAGACATCACTTGTCACCGCAGATGACGGCATTAGACATACGGTATTTGACAAACAGTTTAATGAATATTGACTTTTAATTATATGTAATATTGATTTTTCACACATTTTAGTCACGAATCTATGCGAAGAACTCAATGGACAGATTCGGTGATGATTTGTGTGCACTTCTCTTGTCTCATCTCTCAGTCGAAGACCGCTTTGAATACGAATGTGTGTCAAAACAGTTCCAGAGGACTGTCTTTGACAGTGTTGTGAAAATTATTATCAGTCCTTTTATCATATTTAAAGCAATAAAAAATGAGTCAATTTATGAAAAAATTGGTAAAAAGTGCCGCAATATTAGGATAATTAACTGCCGAAGAATTATACAATATGTGGACCACAATCCAGACTTATTGTACACTTTGGTAGATAATTGTCAGCATTTGCGGGAAATATACTGCGAGTTGTGGTCAAACAGCGACCGATGGATTCGTACGATCGCACCACTGGTCACACGAGCGACCGGTTATTGGAATGAATTACTCATTCATTGCCACCGATTATCTCGATTACACGTCAACTCGTTATCCGATGTCTTCGACAGCACTTCCGGACAACTACTGGCAACTAATTTACAGAAATATTCCTCATTTTATAATCATAACGAAAATCACAGCCAATTGCCGGCATTCGTGGCCGAGAATCAGTGCCTCAAATGTGTTTCACTATCTTTGTTAAGCCATTGCGGAAATAATAGCAAAACAGCCCTCGGATTACTGTCCACACAATTGTCACGATTAACACAATTACGGGATTTGAGACTCGGGTTAGAGATAACTGACAACAAACACCTATTGTACAACTTTTTACGTATAATTGGCTTAAAGTGCAGACAATTGAGATGTTTATCACTTAACTTACGCTTAAATAGCGCTAAATTCAATTACAAGACATTGGATCCGTTAAAATTTTATTACAAATTAAAACGATTAGAATTGACATTCTTTTCACAAGGTAAAATTATGAAAATCAATGAATGTCACAATATATGGAAAATGTTGGCACAATTAATAGATAATTGTCTAAAACATTGGCCACGACTTCAATACCTATTAATTTGTGTTGAGTATAACGAAATAAACACCGAGTGTTTGTCACACCTCTCAAGACTACCGGCGCTGCAAATGCTTGTCATCGAGAGTTGGGATCAAAGCAATGATCTCTCAGATAATGATTTCAATGATCTGTTGTCCAGAAGTCCTAAACTCAAGAACATTGAAATCAGGGGAAAGAATGGCTCAAAGTTTTATTGCACTAAAGGTGCATATAATATTTAAATATTCCAAATATTAATAATACGTGAATTTAATAAAGTATTTCAAACTAAATCTCTCTCTCTCTCTCTCTCTCTCTCTCTCTCTCTTCTTCCTCTCCCACTCACTCATATACAGTATAAATATACATGTAGTATGTATTTAAACAATATTACTTATATTTAGTGTTATATACATGTACTCTACTGTACGTGTCTGTAATGTCATACTATAGTAGAATATTCTTATTCTGTACGCAGAATCTGTATCTCAATCACAACCACTGTATTGTCAAATACATTGAAAAGTCTACTAACACTGCGGTATTCATTGTATAGTGAATCGACTCTAGTATTTACTCTAATTTTGTTGTGTATAATGTAATTGAATAATATATTCGACAGTTACTGGTTTATTAGATTCAATAAGAGTATCAAGATTTATTTTGAGTGGTGTATTAAAAATAATATATATTGTAATTTGTATACTAAACTATCAAGGTGGTTTACTGTTAATTTTTTTTTGTTCATTTTATATAACAGATATGAATAAAACTATTATGCATTCCTATAGCTATACTGTGTATTAAACAATTGATCGAGTTATTAATAGTGACGTTCCTATAGAAACATAACCTTAACTCTATTATTCAATTGTTATATAATAACATTATTGCCATTTATTTAGACATTTATTGGCATTTTTAATATAAAATATC